AAAATAAAAGTAAAACAGTATAAAAAATGGAAAAGGGCAGCTGGTATGAAGGTGAGAGAAAAGCGAAGGGAGATAACACGAAACAATCTTAGTGTCGACGATGTCATATAAAAAATGGATGACAATCAAAAGGAACTCCTCTAGTTCCTGTTCTTTCGCATCCCCTTTAGAGAACGGGGAAAGACGAGACCCACCCACTCGCCTTCCATTCTCTCTCGGCCCTGAATCTCTTTGAAATCGAAGATTTCCACTCTCAAGAACACACTCGCGCGGAACCAGGTCGTAATTCTTTGATGGAGAGACCAGCCCTAAGCATCCCGAGATATGTGCCTCGCATTTTCAAAGAAGCAACTGCCGATGATGAGCGAGTAGCTGCACCGAGAGAGAAAAAAGGTTTCCAATCCCCAATTGTAATCCAAGCCACGTTACTTCCCATTAATCGTATACCTCCTTTGAAGACGAACGATCGATTGCGGAAATTTTAAATACGACAGATCTGCACCGAGATGATTTTTTTTAGAAACAGAAAACGTCCATCGCCCTCAACTTTTATTTATCTTCAATGATAATTAAAATAATTTGTCAAAACTTGAATGCATATCCTTGCACAGTTTGTTTGCGTATAAACTGAACGAATAAAATGACCACACGTTTATGGAAATTTGTCCATCGACCACGAAATGATACGATGTTAAAAACGTTGAAGAATGCGGAGCTAATCTATCGGTAAATAGGCTCGGGTTCATAAACTTCCATAAACGGGTCGATTTCCATTAAAATAGAGGCTGTCGCGACACGTGCGCATGCAGAAGTCGATTTACCGAGCCACCTTTGCGCGATGGCACACTTCTTTCGGGATGCAAATCCCGTTCCTCGGAAGGAAAAGCCCCGTAATTGGGAGATGAACGTATTACGGCCGGGCCGTCCAAGATTGATGATCGTCGAATAGACGAACTGCTCCGCTCTCCGCCGACAGGAGAGCAGGGAGAAAAGCGAGCAAGACGACTTCGTCTCGCTCCGTTGAGCTGAGCTTGCATCCAGCCGGGGTGAAAATTATCTCTGGCCGATCTGACAGCAGTCTAGCCAGCCTGGCTGGAAGAGTATTGCGCGTTTGAGCGCGACGCCGCGCCGCACCGCGTCGCCTTTATTTCGCGCCAACGGCTGATAATTCCCGCGTGTAAACGACTCTGAGGAATCCGAACGCGGAATTATGCGCCGTTTGCCTCGACACGACGGCAGCGCGAGAAATTCCGCTTCTCCAGGCTATTTCGCGGGATGCAGGTATTGGGATGGGAATACTTAACCCCTAAACGCATGTTCAAGGTATCGGAGAAATAGAAATATGAAGCATCATTGGCAGCTTTTGATACTTTGTTACCTGACGGAACGGTACATAGAAATAATAGTAGAATAAAATCAATGATTTTAAGAAATAAGTGGAACGAGAATGACAATTATAATGTCTGATATATGGCTGATACGAACTACTTAAATGAAGATGTATTTATATTTTTTAATAAAATTTCTCTTATTTGTCAATATGCATTTAAACAACATCTTAATTTATTATAATTGAAATTAACACCATACAATTTCAGGAGTTTCGTGCGTGTTTCTCATCCCGAGATACTGAATTTCACGGTACTTGATGTAATACTATACAAACTCCGAGATCTGAACCTCGTAATAATTAGACAATCAATTAACCCACGTTCTCCGAAACTTTCGAAAGCACGTTAAGCGTCAAGAAACTGTCCCGTCAAACAAGCATACGCACACACGCGCGCACGTCCGCATCAGACGTTGCACGCCCGCGGAACTAACGAAGTTACCTTACATTTAAGAGTAAAGCTTCTATAAAACGCAACGTAATCAGCGAGCGAGGCAACGTTAATCAATCACAAAATCTATTAATTAAAATTGGATATTCTCAGAAAATTATGATAAAGTTTACAGAGAAATGTGTAATAAATATCGAAAATTAACGTGCTCTCATCATGAATTATATTAAAGTAAAATTAATTAATAAGAGATTATTTTAAGCGTCGCCTCAAGGTTTGATTGTCAAGTATCTATAGATTCTTGTGAGTCAAGCCAATTCGTCTCGGACGTACAGAAGCGGGGATGATAATGAAACGAAAACAAGATCCCCTTCGTTAATCGAGTGTCCACAGGATAACTTTACTCGCGCGAAGACTGAAACCGAACAATCCTGTCTTATCCCGTGGCTACAGCGATGAATAAAACAGCATGGTAGCGGCCAGGAAATCATACTAACGAGTCTCCACTCTCATCTTTCCCATTCTATTTTTCATCCTCCCACCGTTCGTTCGTTCGTTCGTCTATTGCCCCATCGTTTTTCCGTCTATACTTGACTTTTTTAATCTTCGAAAGCACGCAGAAAGAGGAACCTCTTTCCTTCGTGGCACGCTTTCTGATCAGGAAGCAGAGTCTACAATAGGGAATTGTAAAAAGAAAGAAGGGAGAACAAGTCGAACCATCTCCGGAATCGAATTTCACGATTATAGAGATTGCCCTTTGCAAGAAAGGTCTGGACGATTCTAATTAAAATCATTAATAATGTAACAATGTTTGTAGACGTGATTAAAGTGTTTCGATATCTCGAAATAAAATATAAAATCTGCTAAAGGAACATCGAAAGATGTTGCTGTGCGCCAATTCCCTTCTGCAATAGTCGATTTCTCCCTTTTGCTTTCCATCTTTCCGGTTGATCACTGAAAAAGGAACCTGGGGAGAGGTTCCCCGCGGAATAGAAAGTGTCTGTTGGCCAGAAGCAAAGAAAACGGAATAAGAACACGTACGCCGGAAGTGGTGTTTCGAGAATAGCGTTCGACCAGAGGCAGGTTGCGTAAGGAGAGACGATCCCAAACAAAAGGATCCCCGTAACAAACTCGTGGCTTGTGCCGTGGATTCGCAGTGGCCGAATCGCGCTCGGAAACGAGCCAGGTGCGATACGTGTGTGCGAGCACACGTGCCTCAACGTTTCTCCCGGCCGACCTCGGCGAGAAATCGAAACGAGAAACACGGGAGGGGAAACGAGCGGAGATTTCATTTCCCTCCCCCGCGTTTCAGGATTGATGACTCGGCTGATGAGGATTGATCGCGGGGAATAATTTCGGACGAATTTCTGAAATGCATGAAATCGCTTTTTGGAATCCTCCCTAAGAGCCTGCTCGGGAAATTATCGTCCTGATTAAAAAGGATCTTTTGATACGGACTTAAGGGTTTCAGTCGAGTTTTATAAAAATCTTAATGAATAAAGATAGCAGTTTAAGTGAAAGAATGTGGAAGCGACTAATTCATTTTTCCCTTTTGTCTCATCGAAGATAAGCTCATGAATTTTGTCACGTCAAATATTCTTGCGTATAATATTAAGGATATATTGGCTATACAGTCAATCCCGAAAGTTTGTGCACTTTAGAAACGCATTTTTTAAAAAGAAATCAGACGTCGGAAGAACATTACTAATAATAAACA